GGGGCCCCGCGGCCCGGGCGGGGGAGGGGGAGAGGATCCAGCCGGGGGAGGGGCTGAGCCTGTCCCGGACACGCCCCCACCGCTGCTCCCCACCTCTCCTCCTTGGCCCCCTTCAGCAACCCCAGCTCACTAGCCCCCAAACTGGGCCACACCGGTCCCTGGCATGAGTCTCCTCTTGCCCAATTCCCCACGCCCAGGGGTACGTCCAATCTGGTTTGCATTTCTGCAGACTTTGGCCAGGACCCTACTCACCCTCTCCCCACCCCCCCCAAAACTTGCAAGTTCCCCAGCCTGGGAGAGTTTGAAGTTGCACTTTCAGGGCAGTGTAGCTTGCTCCCCACAACACCACCCCAGGCCAGTTCCTAGGGGCAGGTGTTCTCAGTGGCACTCCCTGACCTTAGGGTGGCCTTGGGCTTTCTGAAGTTTCCACATTTCTCACAAATAATCACATTTACTACTCACCCTATTAATTGACCACTATTAGATATTCTCACTTTACAGATGCAAAAGTTATAGTCTAGAGCTTCCTTCTGAAGCCCTCCCCCCCCCCCCAAAGCTGTGTGGATGCCAGGGGTGAGCCCCAGGGCAAAGTTTGCTGTTTGCTTTTATTTGGGAGGGAAATGTGGTAGGAAGATGAGCAGATCCTGGGCCTGGCTTAAGCAAGTAAGGATGCACACCAATTAGGATAGAGGCTAAAGTTTTGGAAATTTCCCAAAGCAGAAGTTGGTGGCCCTGGTCTTCACAGGGGTGTAGAGGTTGGGGGCGCTGAGTGGGAAGGCAGGGGGCAGACTCTTATGGGACCAAAACTGTTAATCACTGAAAGCTAGCCAGAAAGCTAGAGACCCGCCACTCAGACTTCAAGGTCTTCCCCTTCTGTGTTCCTGTGGGCCCCCACAGCTCACTTTTTGGTGAGGCGAGAAGCAAGGCAGGCCACAGTGGCTCCTGGCAAGGTGTCTGTATGTGACACTCCCTCCTGGCCTCCCATGCCTGTGAGGCTGGGTTTGTTTACCTCTCAGCAGTGTAGTAGCAGCCAGGCCCAAGGGAGGCTTGGCCTCCAAGCCCCAAGGCTCCCTGGGATGCCCAGCCTCCCCCAGTGGCCCCGGGACCCTGCTAGGAAAACACAGACTGTTCCATCTGTGTGCAGAGGGGAGGCGAGGCGTCCCACGGAGTTAGGGCAATGGGGCCCATGAGGCTGAGTGCTGGAGGAGACTCACAGATGACCACAGTGTCCTCTACCTGTAGGGGGGTGGGAACACCACAGGCCCCCACACTTCTCCACTGGTGGAACCCAAAGAAGGGGTTCCCATGGGGCCTCTGGAGGCAAGTGTTCTTGCCTAGTGAATAAGGGAGTTCTTCCCTTCTGGGCCTGCTAGGGTTCTCTGCTGAGTAGGGGCAGGGCCTGAGTGATTCTTGAGCCACTCAGATTGGACCTGGGCCCTATCCTGAGCAGCGCAGCATTAGAACCACTCGCTCACCACAGCAAAAGAAAACCCCTGGCCAGAGCTGCCCTGGGGGACCTTTCCAATCAGGGCAGGCAGAGCACAGACTGCCTGTGATCTGATCTTTCTGGGTTTTTAAGAGACTGCTGTGGGTCGCTATCCCCCACAGAACAGGTCAGGAATGGCTAGGGTACTGTTCAGGGTTCCACCAGGACTGGGGCACAGGACAGCAGCTGGATCCTGCCGTCTCAAGTGACCTTAATTTGACAGCTGCCCCAGCCAAGAAGTTGGACCCAGGGGAGGAGCTGCCAGCCTGAATTATGGGGAGGGTCACCTTCCCAGTGATGACAGGCCTCATGGCTCCCCCCTCCCCCCTTTTCCTGCAGCCCACACTCCCTTCTGCTTTGACCTGTGCCAGGGCGCCTCATTCCTCTAAGCAGCCAGGCTCCGGCCTGGGTTAGGCTGTCCTTTTCCAGAGGCTGTTAATCCACCCAACCCCACTTTCCTCCTCCCTCTTCCACTTCTTCCCCAGCTGCTTCCTCCATGGGGAGGAGACACCCGGGCAACCAGTGGGCCTCCTTAGCCCAAGAAAGGGCTGCTGGTCCCCTGGGCTCCCCACCTAGCAGCTGTAAGGGCAGCAGGGCAGCAGGGGCAGCCCCACCCCTTTCAGCCCCTTCCTCAAGGGTAGTGGGGGAAAAGCAGCCAGCGGGCACCAAAGTCCAGGCAGGGAACCCCAAAATCTCCATCTGGTGTAGAGTGTTTGTTGGCACAAATTTCAAAACACTTTTGAGGGGAGGGTTTGGGCAACTGGGGGTGAGGAAGAAAGGTAATAACAAGAGTTGAACGAGGGACATACTTGCTCAAGTTCAAGTCAGAGAACAGTAACACTGACCTCAAACTCAGGCCTTCTCACCAAACCCAGTCCTCTTCCCACCGCTCTAAGCTCCTGATGGCAGATGGAGGTCTAGCCAGCAGGTTTTGAATCTCATCCTGGCTGGGGCTCAGGTTTTATAGAGGCTCTTGGGAGCCTGGTGGCGGAGGGGATGGCCCCTCAATGCGGAAACACAACCCTGAGAAGGGGTACTCCTGCATGGTCAAGGTCTGAGCTCTGAACTGATACCTTTACTTTACCTGCTTTAACCAAAGCACCCCCCCACACACACACACAGACAAACACACATACACACACACACACACTCCTCAAGCTCCCACAAGCCACAGCCTGCTACTTCACCTCTTGTGGACAATCCCTACCACCCTGGACCCTGAGCCCCAGTAAGTAGCTGGAAAAGAGAAAAGATAGAATTGCCTAGACCGGAGCAAATTCTAGGAAAGTAGCCTGCAGTGGGGGAGGGGAGCAGGAAGTGGGCAGAAGACAAAGCTTTACCAGGTCGCCCCTTGGACTGGTAAAGGTTCTTACATAAGCAAGCAGCTCCTGGGCAAAGCTGTGCGGATAATTCCCCTCAGATCAACCTTACCCCCCAAAACCCAGCTTCCAGGTCACCTCCCCAAGCTTAGCACCAACAGATGGAGAAGAGAAAAAAAGCCCAAATCCTCTGGACCGGAAGGACAGTGGGATTGCATCTCAAGCTGCGATACAATCCCGAGATTAGCTACTGTCTCTTTTTCAGCCAGTGTCCCTGGGGCCGAGCTGAAACCCTTACTCCTCCTCCAGCGACCCTTCCAGACGCCAGCAAGGTCTAAGAGCGGACCCTGATTCGTAGGAGAGAGCCTAGGTGTCCTGCACTGGCAGCCTCACCGACCTCCGTGAATGAAGAGGAGGGGACAGTGAGTGTCCTCACCCTGCTCTGAAGAGGCGATCCAGCTGGCTACCTACACCTGCCAGTAAAATTCTGATGATCATGCAAGGAAGAAACAGCTAAGGAGGAGCAAGTGAAGTTGGACAGATTCCAGCAAGCACTTGTTGGACTCCAACAAGCACTGTTTGAACCTCAGGACGCAGAGTCACTTAGACTGGCTGTCGTCGGATGTACAATCGAGGTCCGACTTAGGGCTAAGATTTTAGGGAGCGTTTTTCTCACCTGCTCCCGGATGCAACGCAACATCAACACCTTTTCACAGTGCCCACTTGCATCCCCCAACCAAAGCCAGGTGCGTGCATCGGAGCTCGGTCTCGAAAGTTAGAGGTTGAGGCATACGAGGGCAAAGGTGGTGGGGCCTGCTCCTCCCATCCCCCATAGCTGCCAGGTGGCCGGAGCCGCCGCGCCCGCCCCGGATGCGCCCCGCGCGCTATGCCCTGGGCGTCACCTCGCGGACTCGTAACCCGCTTGCAGCAGGCGGGCGCTGTACCGCTGCGCGGCCGTCTCGTGTCCCGGGTGTTGCCGGGCTCCGGGCTCCGGAGCAGCGGCGGCTCCGCCTTCCTGCAGCGGCGGCGAAGGGAGAGGCCGCGACCCCACGGGCGGAGTGAGTGGCCCCTCCATGCGGACACCGCGGCTCGGGGATGGTGGGAGCCTCTCCGCCTGGAGGCTCTCTGGGTCCCACTGGGGAGTCAGTGCAGCCCAGTGGAGCCCCGGGGAGGGGGGCGGGGCCGCCGGGGCGGGGCTCAAGCGGCCGGGCGGGCGGGGCATATCGGAGGTGGGCGGATACGGGAGCCCCTGGGCTCGGCGCCGGCCTCGCCCTCCCCCGGTCCCTTTGAACAGGGACTCAGCACGCTTTGTCCATCCTCGGATTGACAAGGGGATACTGGGAGATGGAGTTGCAACTGCGAAGGACCTCCGCCTTTCCCCGCTGTCTGGACCTTCCAGTGTCTTCTAGTCCCAGGGACCAGAAGAGATAAAAGGGACTCAGAGCGTCTGCAGAGGTTGGGGTTTTCTTGGTTTGTTGGTGGAGTTCTGCCTCCTGCGAACGACAGCGTGGTGCTTTGGAGCGCCTCCTACCGGACAATTCAGCCCTCACTCGCGAGTGCAGGATAGGCAGCCGAGACTAGCCATCCATGTTCTTTTGCTTCCTCTCCCCTCCCGTAGACGGAGGAAAATAGGCAGCAGACTTATAAGATGATCTTGTCTTCCCTCATTTGGGGCACCCCATAACCAGGGAATTGGACTGAGTACGCCTGTGCCCAAACTTGTTCATCAACTGTCTAGAAAACATACCTTTTCCTCTTTCATCATCGTTATTATCAACAATGCTCGAGCACCCAGTAAATGAAGCAAAGAGCCCTCACCCTTAAGCAGTATCTTTGGGGGGAAGTACCCAAAATTATGGATCAGACTTTTTACCATTTCACAAAGGAAATTAAGTTTATGCAGGTAAGATCCAGGATTTTAGCCTACCTGCTACTTTTCCTATTCCTGTACACACACACTTTTTGGATTCGGGATTAAAACAGTTCATCTGAAGGTCAGCCACATGTGAAGTTTTTGTCAATGGTGGATACCATCATAAATCAGATTTTTGTGATAAACTAAAAGTTTGTGTCCTCTTAACGTCCATATAGTGAAGCCTAATCCAAAGGATGGTATTTGGAGGTGGAGCCATTGGATAAGGATCGGGCCCTTATGGATGGGATTAGTGTCCTTATGAAAAAGATCCCCAGAACTCCTTCATCCCTCTACTTTGGAATGGCACAGAGTCTGTAAACCAGGAACTGAGTTCTTGCCAAACATAAAATCTTCCAGTGCCTTAATGTTGAACATCCCAGTCTCCAGGTTGTGAGAAATAAGTGTTTATTTTTTAAAAGATTTATTTATTAATGCATACAAAACTGGGGTACAGGCCACAGGTGCAGGAGCTGTGAGAGAGTTCACTAGAAGAGCAGGAAGCAGAACAGGAAGACTGATGAAGTACCCTGCTGAGGGGAGCAGCTGGTGGTCAGGAGAGGTCTGCCACACCCTGTGGTCACCTCCGGGGCGGGCGGAGATGGAACTCACGCTGAAGTAAGTGGCTTTAGCTTTTCAGTGCTGTGCTTTAACCCGCTGCGCCACCAGGGAGGGCTCCAAGTGTTTAATTTTTTTTTTAATTTATTTATTTATTCGTACAGAACTGGGGTACAGGCCAGAGATGCAGAGGGTGAGAGGATTCACCAGAGACAGAGTGGGGAGCAGAACAGTCAGATCGACGAAGTACCCTGCTGAGGGGAGCAGCGGACGAGTCAGGAGAGGTCTGCCGTGCTATGTGGATCTCCTCCGGGGCAGGCAGGATCGAACTCATGAGGAAGTGGCTTAAGCTGCTTTGTGCTGCACTTTAACCCGCTGCACCACCAGGGAGGGCCCCAAGTGTTTAATTTTTAAAGCTAAGTCTATAAAGTTTTTTGTTGTAGTTTAGCCCAAGACAATTTTGTTCAATAAGGTAATTTCTATATCCCTGCAGCTCTCTCAAAGAGGTAACGGGTGATCTCTATTCACGAACCAAATCATTCTATACATAAAAGGGAGCCAACACACAGGTTTATGGCTGTAAATAGGAGAGGTGACATATTAAAGAGGACAAAGAGTGACAATCAGGTAATTACAGTTCCAGTTGGGGTTTCTTACATATAATCATCCAAACCACAAGCTCTCTCTGAGTTTAGTTTCCTCATCTTTCCAATGGGATTAATAAAATCAATCTCATAAAGTTGTTTTATCATGAGTGAGACAAAGTTGCTGACTTAATAAATAGCAACAATGATATTTTAAACTAAGTAAGATGTAACTAAGTTTTGCAATGTAAACCTCCTGCTGAATGAAATATGTTACAATGTCTCTTACATATTCATTACACAGATGTGCATGGGGCACCTACCCTGTGCTACCCCAATGCTGGGAGTACAGTGGTGAACAAATGGTCATTTCTACTGTGGCCAGTTGTAAAGTCCACCAGGGCAGTCACCCAGGATACAAGGCGAAGCAGGCTGACACAGACTCCTGGGCCACATGCAGAGCAGAGCTAGATGTTCTGAGAAAGAAATCAGCACCCATCCACACATTCTGGAAGTCAGCAGAGTATGACAAATGTCACATATCTATATAGTGAAGCATGTAGCGACTGAGACATGGTGTTCAGAGCAGAGTGGCTCTGTCTCTGCTCTGTTGCTTGTCAGCTACAAATGAGATTTGCTTACAAACTATTCATTAAAAATAATCGCATTGTCCTGGGGTGACCTGAGGGCCTCAACATTTCATATGAAAGATATTACCTATAGTAATGTCTGGAGCAGTGGTTCTCACTGGGACATTCAGCAATGTCTGGGGACACATTTGATTGTCCTGATGAAGGGGAAAGGGGCAGACTGCTGGTGTGTCTGATGGTTAGAGGCCAGGGATGAAGGTAACCATCCTACCATGCATAGGACACTCCTTTATAGTGAAGCATCATGCAGGCCCCATAGTCAATAATGCCAAGCTTGATAAACACTGGTCAAGAGGAATTACTTGAAGAAACTAGAACTAAAGTAAAATTACTTATTCTTCCTAAAGCCAGCAGGATAATGGACTATTTCAATTCTTTAAAAAAAAAATTCATTCAGAGCTGGGGAACAAGCCAGAGGCTCAGGAGTGGGGAAAGGATTCACCAAAGACAGAGTGGGGAGCAGAACAGGCAGATCAATGAAGCACACTGCTGAGGGGAGCAGCAGGTGGGTCAGGAGAGGTCTGCCTCGCCATGTGGGTCAGCTCTGGGGCTGGGGATCGAACTCATGCTTAAGTGACTTTTAGCTTCTTAGTGCTGTGCTTTAACCCACTGTGCCACCAAGGAGGGCCCTTCAATTCTTTATTTTTTAAGATTGATTTATGTATGCATGCAAGAACTGTGCCCCAGCAGTGAGAGGATTCACCAGACACAGAATGGAGAGCAGAACAGGCAGGTCTACTGAAATACACTGTTGAGGGGAGCAGCAGGCAAGACAGGGGAGGTCCGTTGCTCCCCTGTAAGTCAGCCTTCTGGCTGGGATCAAATTCATGTTGCAGTGGCTGTGTGCAGATAGCTTCACAGTGTAGGGGCTTAACTTATCATGCCACCAGGAAGGCCCCTCAGCTGTATTTTTGTACATGAAGAAGCTGTATATTCTCACTGGGGCTGTTTCCTTATCTGAGAAATTAGAGTATTGGGTTAGATCATGTTGAAAGTCCTCACCAGCTTGGAAAAAAGCATATAAATCAAATGTATTTGTAGGATTAAGATGCAATATACATGGGATTGCAAGATTGGGGGTGGGGTGGAGGTGAGGGTGGTGGTGGTGGTGGTCAGGTGCTAGTCTGTCTGCATTCCCTCCTCTAAAGTCAGGCAGTAGTCCACCTCTCACCATGTGTGGAGGGCCTACTACAGGCCAGGTGCGGCTGCCCAAGGTCGTGGGTAGAGATCAGGGGTGCTGTTTCACACCCTAGAGGGCACAGAATAACCCACTCCTCAAGACAAAGAATTGTCCAGTTCACATTGGCAGTAGTGCTGCTGTTGTGAAGCGCTGACATGGAGCTGTGCCCCTGGGTAGTGCCAACTGTCAGTGTGCTGCAGAGGTTGAAAAGAAACCCAGCACTATCCACTGGAATAGCCAGGGAAGGTTTCACAAAGGAGGAAGGACTAGACTGGGCCTTTGAAAGAAATAGGATTTAGGAAGGGAAGGGGCTGGGAGAGGATATTCTGGGAGGGACTTGAGCATGGACAGAAGTGCTGAGATGGGATGCTGGGAAGTTTCTGGAGCAGTGAGCTGGCCATCCTGGATGGAACCCCCTTTGGGTTAAGTAGTGGTATTAGCTCCATGTGACAGATAAGAAATCTTGAGAGGGCCTTCCCTGGTGGGGCAGCAGGTTGGAGTGCTGTACTGCGAAGCTAAGCGAAGCAGAGGCTGCTTGAGTGGGTTCAGTCCCCGCCCTGGAGCTGACCCACATGGCGCGGCAGACCTCTCCTGACCCGCCCACTGCTCCCCTCAGCAGTGTACTTCATTGATCTGCCTGTTCTGCTCCCCAGTCTATCTCTGGTGAAGCCTCTCACCGCCCCTATACCTCTGGCCTGTATCCCACTTCTATATGCATAAATAAATAAAATCTTAAAAAAAAAAAGCTGGAGAGAGGACCCTGTGCTGGCCCCCTGCAGTGCACAGCTAGGCCCCCCCCCCATCCTGATAGCCCTGGTACCTGCACGTGATATCTTCAGGATCATCACCCAAATGAAAGCTTTCCTCTGCCCTGATTCCAGCTGGCCTGCTCTAGAACATCACTATATGCTTCTAAAGTCAGAAGCAGACAGTAAAACTGGTAGCAACTGGACTCCATGTTCAGACTGACTGAGTAGGGGCAGAGAAGCTGGTGGTAGAAACAGAATAGTGGCTGTGCCACCACCTGTGATCTTAGGGAGGAAAGGAGCAGGCAGGAAGAGGTGGGGCCAAGTCGGGTTTCAGTGTGGCCAGAGCAGGGGAACTGGGGGTGGAAATCTACCTAGTTTAGGCAAAAAGAGAATCCAGAGGGCCCACACAGACACTCATGGGGGAGGCCCACACCGACAGTCCAGGGGCTGTCACAGCCCCCCAGTTCCTGAGTCTGTGCTGACTGCTGGTATCTCTCCACTCAGACTGGGGAAGGACTCAGAGGGAAAGTGTACAGGGAGCAGCATCCCGAAAAGGAAAAGGGAGTGAAGGGGAAGAAGGAGCAGGAGAGAAGTTGACTGATGTTTGGCAGAAGCACCAGTGGCTTGCAAGGTGGGGGTTGGGGGGCAGCGTACTTCCCTCCCCCCCCAGGCTCCTGGGAGGCAAGACTTCATCCATACCATCATCCATACCGTGCCCCAGCACTGAAGAGGTGGGTGAGGTCAGGCGAGAAGAGGCAGCTCAGACTAGAGACTAGGCGTTCTGCAGGAAGCAGGGCCCATATCTGGGTCTTTCCTCTGGGCCTCAAGTCCATCACTGCCAGCCGCCCCCCACCCCTCCCACTCCTGCCCAAGCAATGGGGGTGGATGGGAGAAGTAGTGGGGTGGGCCCAGGTGCTCTGTGATGGTCCTGCCTGCCCGCCCTGGCCTTTATGGCTTAAACAGCCTGACGGCTTGACCACCCATCACCCAGCTATTGCGTCTCCAGTGAGGATGAGATTGGAGTCACACAAGTTGATGCAGGGGTGGGGGTGGATTGGAGGGTGAGGTTGGGGGTGCTGGTCCAGGGAAAGCTGTATGCCCAAACCACAGCCTTATGGACCCTGGAGCCCCCAGGAGATCCCCTTGCCCTCAGCCCGGCCACAGTTGACAGCAAGAACCTGCCTTTGAGGACAGCCTGCCCACCCTTCCTGGCTTATCTTTCCAACCGTTTCTCTGCTGAGCCTAATAGAAAAATGTAAGCAATGTGCAAGCTCTATTTTTTTCCTGGCCTGGGAGGAGCTGACATTATCAGAGTCACAAAAAATCTCCAGCCTTCACCCCAACTCACTCCGGCCTCTGGTTCACAGCTGGAAAGCAGAAGAGGCAGGCAGGGTGCGGGGACTGCAGGTGTGGGCCTGGGCTGGGGGGGGGGGTGCTTCAGTTCCCAGGGTGCCATGAAGGTAAGATGGGGATGATGTTCTCCTCTGGGTTGGGGGCAGTTGAGCCCCAAGTTTGGAAAGAGCCCATTCTCCCCCTTTGCAGCCCAAGCCTCAGCATCCTCCTGCTTCCTGCCAGATCAGAGTGGACAAGCAGGAGAGGGCATGGGGTGAAGGGACTGTTTCCTGGGGTGAGGGCTTAGACATTGGGAGCCCCATCACAGGAATGGTAGTCCCTGCCCACCTCCCTCCCCCAAGCCTCCAGGCCTAGTCTCCCTCTTGCTTAGTCTATCCAAAGTCACCTCTGGGACTGCCCCCTCCCCCCCCAAGCCTAAAGAGGGAACCCTTTGGTTCCTCCCCAAACTCCTCCCACAGTAGGTCCCCACGGTCTCCCTCCCCAGCCACAGTGACAGGAAGTAGAGAGGGGTAATCAACAGCCCTCCAGCCCCACCCTCCCCAGCAGCACGCAGCCCCGTCAGATCCCAGCTCTATCCTCAGGTGAGTACCCAGGTTTTCCTGCTGAAGACTGGCTTCTGGCAGGTCCCCAGGGCTCTCGCCAGGCCTCCAGCCCCACCTGGTTACCTGTGGGGTGGGGCTGTATCCACAGCACAGATCTGCCTTCCTTTGGGAGCATCTGCAGCTCAGCTTGGAGCCTCTGGGGAGAGCTAAGCCACAGAAGTTAAGAAAGGGCAACTTTGGGGTAACATAGAGGAGGAAGCCCCTCTTCGTGGAAGTGCAGAGGGAGCCCTGATGACTCCAGCCAGGGGGAGCTGACCCACATGGCACAGCAGACCTCTCCTGTCTTGCCCACTGCACCCACCCCTCCTGTACCCATGGCACAGTGGCCACACAGTTGCACTCTGACCTCAGCGAGCTGCGCAATCCTCAACACAATCCCACTCACCTGCCAGGTCAGCCTAGGAGGGAATGTGTGAGGGAGACAGAGAAACCCCAAGAGAGAGATGGCCTCCAGCCAGAGACAAGTGGGTGTGCTGTCCAAAGCCCGGGGTTCTGGGTTCTACCACCCTGTTTCCAAGCCAAGGAAACCAAGCACTTTCTAAAACAGCCAGCAGATTTAAGAAGTATTCTGAAAAGCTGACCACCACCAAGCTGCAACAGAGTGGGTTCCAGTGCCCCTAGAGACCTGAGCCAGCTTGGGAGAGGCTCTGGAATGGGGTGCCTGGTAGGGCCCAGGGCTCCTCTGTCAGCTCTGGGAGTGCTAGTTGGGGATGCCCTGACCTGGGGGGGGGCAGCAAGAGGCACCTCAGCAGACACTGCTCTATACCACCCCACCCCTGGGCACTTTTGGGCCTCTCTTCAGCTTCCTGCTGTCACTTCTGGAACTAACTGCCATCAAGAGGAAATCTATTAAAAGCTGGGTGAGGTAAAGAATAGTTACTTGAAAGTACCTTGAGGAAGTGGCAAGAGTTGTACAAACACAAATGTGTCTCAGCTTAGAGGAGGAACATACAGCGCAGCGGATCAAGGCTTTTTCGGATCAGAACAGTGCCCTGGGGAGGGAGCCTGGCTTTCCAAGGCCAGCCCAGTGCTTGAGCCCAGCTGGAGTTTGGGAAGGCAGCTGACCTTCCCCTGAGCGTCCAAAGTGCCAAACGCTTCTGCTCTTAACTCACGTCCAATCTATTCCACACAATCATGGGTGGGGCAGGAAGACCAATGTTAGCCACAAGGAAACTGGCCAACAGCTTGTTTTATTTCATTTATTTGTACATACAAGAAGTGCAGGGGGTGAGAGTACTCACCAGAGACAGAATCAGGAGCAGAGCAGGCAGATCTACTGAAGTACACTGCGGAGGGGAGCAGAAGGTGAGACAGGAGAGGTCTGCTGTGCCATGTGGGTCAGCTCCTCCTTGGCTGGGGTTCAAACTCATGCTGCAGTAGTAACTTGATAGTGCTGAGAGACTTAACCCCTTGCACCACCAGGGAGGCCCTGGTTGACAGTTTGTTTTGTAATTCATTTTTTTAAATTGGGATGAAATTCACCTATTATAAAATTCATAAAGTTTTTTTTTGTCTCTAGTCGTTCTTCCTGATTTATGGGGGATACCATGCAAGACCCCCAATGCAGGCCTGAAACCTCAGGTATGGTACAGACACCTACCATACTATGCTTTTCCTCTTGATGCCTATGATAAAGTTTAACTTATGAATCAGAACAGTAAGAATAACAACAGTAATGAAGTGACTTGAAAATTATATAACAATATACTGTGATAAAAATTATGTGAATCTTCCCTCTCAAAATATGTTATTATAAGCAATACTTTTGGGCCTGGGTCGACTGGGAGTAACAGAAACCATAGGAAGTGAAGTTAAAGATAACAGGGGACCACTGTTACTCCCAAGATTATACAAGCATCACCACTCTCTAATTCCAAACATTTCATCACCCCCTAAAAGGAAACCCCACATCTATTAACAGTCACTCCAAATAGTGCCCTTCCCTCAGACTCCACAATTTCTCTATATATTTTCAGGACAACAATTTTTTCTCTCTAGATTTGCCTATGTGGACTTTGTTTTTGTTTTAAATATTTATTTATATACAGAACTGGGTACAGGCCCAAGATGTAGAGGCAATGAGAGGATTCACCAGCGACAGAGTGGGGAGCAGAACAGGCAGATCGACAAAGTACACCGCTGAGGGGAGCAGTGGGCGGGTCAGGAGAGGTCTGCGGCACCATGTGGGACACCTCCCTGGCAGGGGTTCAAACTTGTGCTGAAGTGGCTGTGGTTAGCTTCACAGTGCTGTGCTTTACTCAGTTGCACCACCAGGGGGCCCCCCATTTGGACTTTCATACAGATAGATTCAAGCAATGTGTGACCTTTATGGCCAGCTTTTAATCTGCTTTAAGCATTTTACTTACCTACAGGACAACTCACTCTTGTTGATATCCAGCTCTGAGTCTTGACAATGCATAGAGTCATGTAACAGTTGCCATTATCATGCTGGCCCTCTGTGGTCACTCCTAGTTCTTGGGATCCTCTCTGTGGTTTTCTGATCCTATAATTTTGCCTTTTCCAGCATCTTGCAATGTTGGGCCCTTCAAGTTTGACTTTTTTCACTCAGTGCAATGCCTTTGAATCAAACATGCTGTTGCCTGTACAGGTAATTCTTCATTTGCATTCTTTCTTTTTCATTGGCAAATAATCTTCCACTCTATGGCTACACCATTGGTGTTTTTAAGCCACTTACCAACTGAAGGCTATCTGGCAGTTATGAGGGAAACCTCTATAGACATTCACGTACAAGATTTTGCATAAATACAAAATTGCATTTCCTTTGGTTAAGTAGGATTGGTTTGGGTGGGACATGTGGTAGGTATATGTTTAATTTCATAAGAAACTGCTAAGCTAGCACTCTGCATCCTCACCAACATTTTGTATGGTCAGGGGTTTTTATTTGTTAGTCTTTTTTGTCTTTTAAGTAATTATGCACAAAAAAAGCTTTTTTAAAAAAAAGATTTATTTATGCATACAGAAATGGGGTACAAGCCAGAGGTGCAGAGGTGGTGAGAGGATTCACCAGAGAGAGAGTGGGGAGCAGACCAGGCAGATCGATGAAGTACACTGCTGAGGGAGCAGCGGGCGGGTCAGGAGCAGTCTGCTGCGCCATGTGGATTACCTCTGGGGCTGGGAATCGAACTCTCACTGAAGCAGCTGTGGCCAGCTTGCAGGGCTGCGTCTTAACATGTTGCACCACCAGGGAGGCCGAGAAAGGTTTTTTAATTTGCTTATCATGCAGATAGCAAATGGTAAAGATGATATTTAATTAAGATCTGTCTCCAAAACTCATTTTCTGTCTTCTTCACAAACTGCCTCTCTATTTTCCTGATTCATCTTAACCCAGCGCACAGCAATGGCCGGTAAATACACTCTCCCTGGCCCTACAGCCTAAGTTCTAGTACAATAAAAATAACTTCCAGTGGCTTCAAATGACAAGGGTCTGTTTCTCCTTATTCTGCATATATACTTGGTCAGAAGGGGCCTTTACTCCACTTTCTCCTCACTCCAAACTGAGGCTGATGGAGCAACCACAGTGGAGGATTACAGCTTGATGTGGCAAAGGGAGCCCTCGAGCTCTCACGAAGGCAACTTAATGCTCCAGGCGGGAGCCAGTTGCTGCACTCCCACTTATGTCTCCTTAGCTACAAGACTTAGGGCCATGCCCAATCACTAGGGACCAGGCACAGGATACTGCTGATGTCAATTTTTGAAGTTCAGGGTCCTTGGGTTCACTCTGGGAAAGTTATAATTAAAGAGCAGGTGTATTAGGGGAAAGGACAGAGGAGGAAAGGACACTTGCATGGGCACAACCAGGCAGGAAGAGCTGCCCCGGAAGGGACAGGTTTGCAGAGAGGCCAGCGTGGTTGCAGGCAGGTGGCCTTAGGAGAGCGGCCTCCGTTGAGGGAGGTCGGTGCAGAGACATCCTGGCAGGTACAGGTCAGGGGCAGGCAGGAGGCTGCTGCCCTGCAGAGGGAGAGAGTGGGTGGGAAGAAACACCTGCATAGTCAGGTGGGCAGAGGACTGCCCTGAGCCAGTGCAGACTGTGCTGTTCCCTGTTCGAGTCCTTTTCTCTTTGGGAGGGGTCACTCCTTTGTGGGGTGGCCTCTTTGCTGCTGATTTTAGAAACTAGGTGGAATCTTTCAATGGACCCAATCTCTTTTTTTTTTTAAGATGTATTTATTTATGCATACAGAACTGGGGAACAGGCCAAAGGCACAGAGGTGATGAGAGGACTCACCACAGCCAGAGTGGGGAGCTGAACAGACAAATCATCGAAGTACACTGCTGAGGGGAGCAGCGATCAAAACCGGAGAGGTCTGCTGCACCATGTGGATCACCTCTGGGTCAGGAATCAAACTTGCATCAAAGTGGCCAGTTTCGCAGTGCTGTGCTTTAACCCGCTGTGCCACCAGGGAAGGCCCCAATCTCTGTATCTCCACCCTCAGGTCTGTGCTTCTCATTTTCCCCACAGCAGTCAGATACAAGAGTCTCTATGACTGGGTTAATGGTCATGTTAGTGCCTTCTGTCCCCACCTCCTTGCATGAGTCAGGTTTTAACTTTGTGATGCCTCCCTCAGGCTTTCTACTCTTTCCCTTCATCCGTGCCATCCTGCCATGGGGCCAGAAAGCAGCAAGGAGTAGAAATTTGGTGAATGGCTTTAATAACTACAAGTTTGGCAGATGATTATTTAGATAGTGCAGGGCAACGCTCAACGGAAAGTAGCTCATGTGATACTGCATGGTTCTAAAGATTGGTCCCATTCAGGATTTTAAAAATATATATTTATTTTTATTTATTTATGCAAACAAGAACTGAGACATAGGCCAGAGGTGCCAGGAGTGAGAGTATTCACCAGAGACAGAGTGGGGAGCAGAACAGGCAGATCGACGAAGTACACTGCTGAGGGGAGCAGGGGCCTGCTGTGTCGTGTGGGTCAGCTCCCTGGACAGGGATCGAACTTGTGCCACAGTGGCTGGCCATAGCTTGATAGCTCTGAGACTTTACCCCCTGTACCACCAGGAAGGCCCCATTCAGGGTTCTCAATGCCCGGGTAGGTGTGGAGATCCTGCCATTACTCCGCAGCTATCCTTATTCTTGATTCAGGAAGAATCCACAAGTTGTAAATGTGGTGTCCAGTAAGGACCAGATTGAAAATTCAAACCTCTGCCCCTTACTTCATTCTCAAACTCATAGTCTGATTTCAGCCTAGTCCCCGCTCCCTTTGTGACTATGGACAAGGTCCAAAAGCCTCAGGGCAGTGCAGATGGGACAGAGCAGGGAGCTGTGGAAAAAGTCACCTCCTCCACCCAGTCCTCTTTGGGGCTGGACGAGGCTACAGAGAGTCTCCAGCCAAAGGAGAGGGACTAGAGTAGCTGAGTTTTTTAGTGAAGTACCATGAGCTTGGCAGTCAGCTGTGTGACGGTGAGCAGAAACTCCCTTAAGATTTTTCATCTGGAAAGTGAGGCTGATCTGTTAACTTACTACGAGGAGTAGTAATTTGTCAGTGAGGTTTCTGGCACATAGTAGTTGCTTAATGAATAGTAGCTGTCATTATCAGGATGCTTGGAGCTAAAGAAGCCCCAAAGCTCTGTGCATTTTCACACAGGCTGTGCCAAGAGTGAGTTCTGAGCATCTAGGACTTCATATCTCTTGACCTCAAGCTATGTTCAGAGTGAAAGTTTAAGTGTCATTGTCAGTTGGTAAAACTAGCACTTGGTCACCTAAAGACTGAAATGACCATTTCACTGTACCTGTTTTTATTATACGTACATACCTAATTTGAATGACTGAAATATGAGTCCCATGTGAATAGGGATGCAATCATTAAAAGTCCAAATAGTGATTCCAAAGAAATCTAGAGAAACTTTTTGCTAAGATCTACTGCCAAGGAGCCTTCAGCAAGTAAAAAATAGCTTTTATGTCTTTTACAAGTTCTGGTTTTAATTCTTGGGTTTGTGATTACTTGATATATTCTATGGTACAAGACTAGTAAAAATAAGTAAAATCTATAAACATCCACTGTAACATTTTCCAAACAAATTGGCTTGGATGACACAAAGGCCTGTCTGGGGCGAGACAAGGCTGCCCCCTTCTGGGATCTCCCAGTACTCCAGTGACTCAGACGAGGAGCCAGGTTTTCTACTCAGCAAGAGTCTCTGGGTCGTTCCATGGTGCACTGGCCGGCAGAGGGAAGTGGCTCTCATACTAGGGTATTTGTTACTCTGAGGAAAGAGATCAATCACATCAACTTCATGTGAGCACTGGTAGAGTGCTTAGAAAGGCATCCCATGCATTATTTCACACGTCGTGATAACCCTATGAATTAAGACTGAACACAAGTTACTGTCATTTTACATGTCATTTTACAGCTTAAGAAACAACATGTGGTTTGTTCAAGATCACACAGCCAATAAATGAATTTTTAAAAGTTATAGAACCCAGGATTTTAGACACCTAGTTTGTGTTCATTTTGCTTAACCATAATAAAAACATTGCTTTTGTTTTAAAAATAACCTACTTACTATGTCCTAGGTCAATGATCCTTAGCCCTGGCTGCACATTAAAATCTCCTGGGATAATGAAAAAAGTAATTCTGTGGCTGGGCCCCATTCCAACTAGTTACATCAGAATCTATGGGGAGGGTTCCAGATCTCTGATTTTAAAAAAAGATTTATTTAGTTGTGCATACAAGAACTGGGGTACAGGCCAGAGGTGAAGAGGGGGTGGCGGTAAGAGGATTCATCAGAGACAGAGTGGGGAACAGTGGGAGAAACAGGAGAGGTCTGCCATGCCTTGTGGGTCACCTCCCTGGTGGGGGATCGAACTTGTGCTGCAGTGGCTGTGACTAGCTCACAGTGTTACATTGTGAATTGGGGTGCCTGTCTGTGGGTCCTCACCCACATCGTATTATGGACACACTCAGAAAGATTCAATACCCAGGGAAAGAGGGAGAGAAATACAAGTTAGTTAGAATGTCCTACCAGTTCTGCTGACTTGGACTCCACCAACACACTGAAAACCGATCAAGAGCCAACGACCAGCCACAAATCACCAGGCCGAGAGACCCCCAGAGCCTACATGTCCGGTTTTATCCCAACCTGGCTGCTCAGCTCCGCCCTCACACCCCAGCGCGCTTCTCCTTGGTATTGATGGGATTAGTAGTTCCAGTATCTGGAGTGGGGGCCTTGCACCACCAGGAAGACCCCAGAACTTTATGAGTTTTATTAACTCTCCCAGGTGATTCTAATATAAGAACGTCAAGTGCCACTGGGTATGTGCTTTATAAACACCACCTTCAAACTTCATCACAATTCCATCAGTTAGATTTTATTACCCACATGTACAGCTGAGGAAGCAAAGACCTAGAAAGGATAATTTTCCTATTACCACAACAACCAAGGTGATCCAAGTGGCCACAGAAAGGCTCCAAAAAAAATCTGAAAATTTTCAAAGCAGCGGTAATCAGTTCCCATACAGCTTACAACTACTTGCTCAATGCAGTTCACTATGACAGTAGATGGCGCCATGTTCTTTTCAATTACGTCATATCCTTGCAAAACTGGACTTTTTCACATGAAATCAGCATGGAACCG